TGTCCGAAGATGTGTGGATTGATATCCATGTCTTCTGTTCAGTTCTGTTGGTCCTCCTGTCTGTTCTTATGCCAATCCCAGGCTGTTTTCAGTACTGTAGCTCTGTAGTAGAGTTTGAGGTCAGGGATTGTGATGCCTCCAGAAGTTCTTTTATTATACAGGATTGTTTTGGCTATCCTGGGTTTTTTGCTTTTCCACATGAAGTTGAGTACCATTCTTTCAAGGTCTTTGAAGAATTTTGCTGAGATTTTGATGGGTATTGTGTTGAATCTGTTAGGAATACATTTTCTTTTCAAACAATGTATGGCTGTCCCTCCCTGCCACTGCCATTCCCAAGAGATGGACCCAGTGAGTTATGTCAAAGTATAGTTGCATGTCATTATTATATACAAGCAGGAGGCAGGCTGGTTGCCTTTTCAATGAGTTCCCAAAGTCTCTAAGGAGTTGGTTTTTTTCTGGTCCATTGTTCTAATCTAAAGGTTGGTTCACAGCAACAGATCAATAAATGTTTAAAAAATGATGTGGCTAGTGCCACAGTCTAATGACATGAAAGTCACATGGTTCATTGGTGACTGAGCGAGAACTTCTACCTTTCCTGTCCTCTGACCCCAATGTTAGGTCATCCTGTTTAGCTGAGTAAAGGCAGAGACTAGGCTACCCATGTCTAAACCACTGCAAAACTCCACTCTGCTCTTCTTGGCACCATCTCTTCACATATGTTCTAACTCTTAAATATTATATATGATATATATATATATATATATATATATATACACACACACACACAGAGAGAGAGAGAGAGAGAGAGAAAGAGAGAGAGAGAGAGAGAGAGAGAGAGAGAGATCTGACCAAATGAATAAATAACTCTCTATTACAATTACAACTCTCACCTGGTTAATTAAAGTGTTTGGGCTCTCACTCCTTTTACCTGTCCAGATCTGACTTCCAGCATTGCTCGTCTGTCTGTCTTGAGGAAGTGTTCCGTGTAACTCCAGCTGGCTTCAAACTCCATACGTAACCAAGTCTGGCCTTGAAGTCCCCATTCTTCTACCTCTCCCTCTGTGTGCTGATGTCATGGGTGTGTCCACCAATCAAGGTTTGCCTTCATAGACTTGACCCAGGCACATCACCTTGTCTCATCTCTAGCTTATGTACCCAGAAACCCTTATTCTTCCTCCAGGAGCCAGCCTGAAAACATCTCCTTGGTGCAATACCCTTCACACTTGCCCCTCTTCCCCGGCAGTCTATCATCTCTGCCTCTTAGTTCCTGCCCCCACCTCACCCTAATCTCTAGGCAGAAAGGTCTTCCCTCTAGAGACATCCTCGACATTCAAGCTCAAGTCCATAATGCAACACTGACCCTCGTGTCCCCACTGCATAACACTTGAGTTTTCACTGCAGGATTTGTGGGAGACAAGGGTGAAGGAGCAGTCAAGTCCTTACACACTTTGCAGCTGCCATTTCTAGGATATTGTGAGATGGCACTTCTTTTTTTTTTTAAATTTATTTATTTATTAAGGATTTCTGCCTCGTCCCCACAACCGCTTCCCATTTCCCTCCCCCTCCCCCGATCAAGTCCCCCCCCTCATCTGCTCGAAGAGCAATCAGGGTTCCCTGACCTGTGGGAAGCCCAAGGACTGCCCACCTCTATCCAGGTCTCCTAAGGTGAGCATTCAAACTGCCTAGGCTCCCACAAAGCCAGTACGTGCAGTAGGATCAAAAACCCACTGCAATTGTTCTTGAATTCTCAGTATTCCTCATTGTCCGCTATGTTCAGCTAGTCCGGATTTATCCCATGCTTTTTCAGACCTAGGCCAGCTGGCCTTGGTGAGATCCCAATAGAACATCCCCATTGGCACTTCTGTGTGGCCTTTTCCCCATCACAACGCAGTAAATCCAGCAGCAAGATTTTAGGCCTCACAGAACTAGCTCCAAGCAGAGTCAAAAACTCAACTGGAAGGCGTCCCAGGCTGCTTCCCTCCCCACAGCACCTGCAAGCCCGGAGTTCCAGGTACAGGAGGCTCAGCAAGTTCCTAGAGCAGCTGCTACAGTACCAGGGCTCTGGGATACACTTGGGACCATTGCTAGATTCTCTTGTGAAATGAAGTTCTCTAAAGAAACCTCATCTGTGTTAAAGACCCTTGAGACCGACCAGAACATCACATGCAGAGAGAAGGAATGCTGCTGACCACGAGCCAAGATTATCTTGGGCTATCTTTAGTTCCCTTCCGAGCTGTCCTAAATCTCTGTACCTGACCTAACAAAACTCTTGAAACATATCGCTGAATGTAGCTGACCACCAGGGTCCTCCAAACCTAAAACTAAGACTCTTATACCCAACAGCAGAATTTCCCTGCTCTGCCAAAGCCCACATAGCTAACGTACCTACCCAAGTAAGCATATCAATTTGCAACTTTCTTTTACATGTGACTTTAACTTCAGATAACCTTTTCCATAGTGCGAAATGTCATTCGGGCATCCTGGATCCTTATTCATGGGCCGTGGTCATTCATGTTTGTCTCAGAATGAACTCTCTCTTATTCCCATAGGGACAAAGGCTGAATGGCTGCATAGAGCCAGGGAAGGGGAGAAATGGGTTGCAGTGAGAGACTGGCTCACTTTTCCATATGAGCTTCCCCTCAGACCAACACAGTCAGGATTTGGATAGGGGAAACGAAGCTATTCTGGAATCTGACGCTTTTTAAGTCTCAACTTTCTTGAGCCAAAGTGGGCATAGTGGTTGTACTCCCAGTGAAACAGGAAAGCAGCAAGTTCAAGATCAGCCCGAGCTCCATATTAAGTTTCAGGCTAGCTTGTCATATAAATAAATAAATTGTACCTCCCCAAATAAATAAAAACAAAATACAGATATCTGGGCCCTAAACGTCAAGAATATAGCTGAGTAGAGTGGAGGCTGCTCACAAGTCTGTGCTGAAAATAAAACAAAAAAAAGAGAGCCAGGGCCCCAGCTCAGTGTGTGGAATGCTTGCCTACCGGGATCAGAGGCCTGGGGTTCACTTCCGGCTCTGCACAAGACTGGGCACGGTGGCAGACACTACAGTCCCAATCAGGAGATGGAGGAAGAAGGGTAAGAATTTCAAGTTCATCCTTGGCTACATCGTGAGTTCCAGGCCAGCCTGGGCTAAATGAGACTCTATCCCCAAAAAAGAAAAGGAATGCCAGGTGTGGCGGAACGTGCCTTTGCTACAATGAGTTCCAGCCCAAGAGACTAAGAAGTCCCCCAAACTGGCACTTAGCAGCTGCTCACTAAACATTTGGCCAGGACTGAGAGTTGGCACTTTGGCAGGAATTGACACAAACTGCTCTGGGAGGTGTGGATGACAGGAACGAGATACATGTATTTGAACGTTTGGTCTCCTGTTGGGTGCTCTTTGGGAAAATTATGAAAACTCCAGAAGGAAGAGCCTTGTTGGAGAAAGTTCATCCTTGGGGTCAGGCTTTGGGTTTTCATAGGCTCACGCTACTTCATGCCTTCTCTCCCTGCTTCCTGTGCAGTTAAGATGTGATCTGCTCCTGCTACCACACTTTCCCCACATTATGGTTATGGAACCATAAACCAAAATAATTTACTTCTTCTAAGATGTTCTTGGCTATCGTATTTCCTCACAAGAGAAAAGTAACCCACACAAGACAGCCAATCCCTATCCCGACAGCCCTTCGTTCCCATGGAGACTAACCCATCCCATAAGAGGTGGGGGGGGGGGTGGAAATGAGTAAGGCTGGAAGTAACTTGTGTGCCCCATGGTCCCCTCCAACATGAAAATTATAAGGCAATGACTCTGGATTCAGGTTGGGGGAATTCTTGGAAACCCTGCTAGGGCCAGGTGAGCTGATCAGCTGATGTCAAAGTGATTTGCGATAGCTTGTGTTCTAGGACACAAACTGGGTGTGGCTAAGCAAACTCATTGTGAAGCAGCAATAGGCAGAGGGAAGAGATCACTTAGGTTCTTCAACCTTCCAGTCCTTCAGTTTCTGTGACTTTCCTGCGACTTCCCTGGGCTATTTGGATTCAGTGGACAATGCAGGGACCAAAGCAGCCTTGAGGCAAGGCAAGATTTCCAAGGACTGGCTCTCTGAATGTCTTGAGTATACCCTCTCAGGCTGACTGGGCTCCATACCTAGCCTGTGCGCCAGGCTCCAGGTAAGCAGGTAGATAGTCTGCCTCTTAACCAGCTCATTGTGCCTTGGTCTCAGCAACCATCAGGACCAGGAACAGACCAGGCTTCCTGCCTTGATCTGCTAATGACAATGGATTACCTATGCAGAAGGTCAGCATGGGCTTATCTGCAAGGGAAGCCTGGAGCTCATGCATGCCGTGAGCCCCAGGAATTCAGAGCTTTGAGGAAGGCTGCAAGGCTTCCTGAAGTCTAACAACTAAAGGATAAATACTTCCGGACTGTCTTCACAATCGTCAAGGATAGGAGATTCCATGGGTAAGCCCATGCCAACTCTTTCTCATCCTCTCCCTCACTTCAAAGAATGAGCAAGCCTCGGGGACCCAAATCTTCCAGGTTAGCATGTCGTCAGAGGGTGCAGTGGGGACAGGAGTCCGGGAGACCATGCTGTGATTTTAGGCAAGCCTGTTTCTCTCTTTGGACCTCAGATTCTTTCTCTAGTGAGAAGCTGGACTGACCTTTTCCCACCTTGGCTATAAATCAGAATCATCTGGGTGGTGACAACATACAGACAGGGACCTGGGAACACCAAAGACTCCTAGGCCTCATCCCAAAGCTAAGGAACCTGAACCTGCAGTGAGGATAAAGAAGCCATGCCGATCCTGAACTCCAACCTCAGCTGCAGCCAGGGAGCCTAGGGAGCCCCTCTGTTTGCCCTCACCCCTCCATCAGGGAGACCCTTTAGATTCATCGCTCCAAGCCATGCCCCAGCTCTTCCCAACTTCTCAGCCTCCTCCTGCCGGAGTTGGAGGAAGCTTGCATCCCTGCTTTCTCCAAGGAGCTCTGGAGGCTGAAGCGCTGGTCAGTGAGCACTTTATTACCCATCAACCTGCCCAGCCTGCCCGCACCACAGCCCGGACAGCATCTTCGTCCCGTCAGTTCTGGCATCCGGCCTCAGCCCCTATCCACACTCTCACTCCCTTTCAAGGCAGCACCAGGCCGGGGGCCACACCTCAGCTGGGAGAGGGAGAAGGGGACGGGAAGATAAAAGCTGGGCAAAAAGAAACTAGAGTTGGCCCCCAAGCTTCTGGAGCCATCGCCCCAGTTAAAAGGACAAGGAGGCGGGGCTTCTGGAGCCACTACACGTGGTTCAGGCAGGAGGCTCTTCTCCAGGACGGGCAGGGAAGCCACTCAGGTCTCGGCCAATGATCTCACTCACTGTAAAGGAGGGCAGTTGAAAGATAGGGCTAAGGCAGGGCCTTTTCCTTTTCCAGAGGCCGCGCCCCCCTTCAATTCCAGGCAAGCCTCCAGCTAGGATACATCTGGATTCCTCTTTGGCTGGGCCTCAGTTTCCCTAATGTCTCTTAACATCTGCTCCTAACTAAATTGTGTCCAACTCCATCCATGTGGGTTCCCAGCCCTGGATCATAGCCAGCTTGGCCTAGGCAGCAGGTCAGACGTGGTTGAGCATTGAAGAGACAAATGAGGGAGGTCTTCTACACCAAAGCAAACTACAGTCACCAGGGAAAGATACGGTAAGGGAAAACACTCAACTGAGCTTTCCACAAGCCACTGTCCCTCCCTGAGACTCAATGCTTGAATTCAGGGAAGTAGAGAGAATGGCCTTGAAATACTTCTAGGACTGAAATTTTGTGATTAGGGTGGAGGGCAGAGACAGAGGGAAAAAAAATCTGGAAGATACTCTATGTGCCCTTCAGAATTAAGGTGTTGAATTCAGGTGGCCACACATACACCAAGAACTTGCTCCTGAGACTCCTGACTACCCTGGGACACTAAGGCTGCCCAGTCTCTGAGTAGCCAAGCTCCAGCCCTCAGCACACACTCAAACCAGTCTCTTGCACTCACTCACACTCACAGCCCCCAGTCCCACACCCACCTTCCTCCAGGGTGATACCCTGGATAGGTACACTGTCTCTGAAGCCGCTGCTGTAGCCACCCCTGGATTTCTCCTGCTCCGAAGCCCCCTCCCCAGGGGTATAGCCTGGCCCCACCTCATTGTAGCCCTCAGCAGGTAATGGGTGGGCAGCATTCTGGGGATTGAAGGGGTCTTCAAGGGATGGGGAGGAAGGTAAAGGAGGCCTAAAGGGAGCTGGAGGGGAGAACGGAAGCCCCAGGGCAAAAGAAGAGCCCTGTCCTCCATAAGGATCACTGGGAAAGGGGCGAGGAAGGAAGGAGACTGCAGGCGGGCGGGCACAACCTGTGGTACCTCCAGTCTCAGGGAACATCCGCAGGCCTGATCTATAGGATGGTGGGGGCCCCGTCTGGGGGTATAGAGTGGGGGTGCTATAACCAAAGCTTTCGGACAGGTAAGGAGTCTCATAAGCAGGGTCTTCATGGGGATAGGAGGGGTAGGGGGGCCTGGGTGGTGAGAAGTCCATGTCAGTGCCAAAGGGGGGACCCGACGTGGAAGGGAAGCCCCGGAGAGATGAGTCTGGTAGGGGCTCCTCCTTGAAGATCACTGGGAAGATGAGGAGGCAGCAGGCTGGTGAGGGTCTGGCAATTCCACCAGGACACACCTTCCAACCTCCTTCCCTTCCGAGGGTTCCTCTGCCCCTTATCCCCTCACACTGGGGTTCCCCTCCACCCCCACCACAGGCAGTCTTAGAGCGCACCAGGTAGGAACTTGAAACTTTGGGTAGGACTGCGCTTCCTCCTCCCGTTGGAGACGTAGAAGTAGACCTGGACTGGCCGGGATACCCGCTTGTTGCTGTACTCAGGGACAGTCAGAGTCAGTGTCACCTAGTTAGGACAGAGGAGGAGACACAAGTCCTTGGAGGTCTTATATCAGTCCAACCCTTCTATGAACCCAAACCTTATCTCCTAGTCTAGGCTGAGGAGCAAAGTCAGTTCCCTGGAGATGAAGCAACTAGACCCTCCAGGTCAGAAAAAGTTACTCTGAAGTAACCTTTTCTGTTGTTTTTTTCTTTTTTCTCCTTCTTTCTTTCTTTCTTTCCTTTTCTTACTATTTTTTGAGACAGGACAGCCTTAACTGTTCTGGAACTTGTTCTGTAGACCAGGCTGGCCTCGAACTTACAGAGACCCACCTGTCTCCGCCTCTGGAGTGCTGAAATTAAAGGTGTCATCCCCACTGCCCAGGCAAAGACCTTGTTTGTTTGTTTTGTTTTGGAGACTGACTGTCCTGGAACTCTCTCTGTAGACCAGGATTGCCCCCGAACTCAGAGTTCCACCAGCCTCTAAGGGGACCCTCTTGAGAATTCCTTACTTCTTCCACCCCTCACCCCACCACCAGGTTGGATACCCCAGGGACACTGGTACCTCACTGCTCTGTAGCCGATTCACCGCAGCCTCCTCCTCCCACTGCAGCTTGCCATCTGAGCAGGAGAGAAAGAGCACCAGCCTAGCTCTAGGGCCCACCCACTGCCCCAGCGCCCTCCCTTCCCCTTCCTGCTGGAGTCAATCAGATTTAAAAAAGATCCTTAGCAGGTCTGGCACAGACTTTACCAGACAAAGACAGGTTTTAAAATTGTCCCCAAGGGGGTCAAAAAACAAACTAAAGCCAAGGGAAATGGCAGGGACCTAGAGAGAGTGTTAGAAGTATCCCTGGAACTCTTTCACCAGCTAACTCAGACATCCCCTCCCATGATACCAACAAGACAGATAGTGAGGTAGTACTGGGTCCCATCTTGAAGGAAGGCACTAAGACCAAGATTCACGATGTGTACCCCAGGTTGCTAACTGTGGTCTAGGGGCTGGGCCATCATGAGAAGGGTTGAAGGAAGGACCCAGAATCCTGTCTCCCATTTCTCCACCCCTACAGCTCCATCTTGGGGGCACCCCATAGTTACAGCTGGGCTTTTATCTCTGAGCTCAGGATAGGCTCAGGGAAATCCACAGTAATTGTAAGTCCCTTCTTCACTTCATATACTTTTTTCATGACGATAAACCGTCTCAAAGCCAGTTCCTCTTTAATACTTTAATAAGCAGGATGTGTATTTCTTGTATTTGCTCACTATCCTTGATGTGTTAGCTGTGGTCACATCCATGAGAAACTGACTATACACGAGGGAGGCTCAGCTGGGTGCTTCTGTGACAGCCGCAGAGTCTCACCTGCAGGTTGTTAGCTCTACTCCCCTCCTCTCCTCAGGGGGTACTCACCAGGGCCCCTCTCAATGAACACCACTTTAGAGTCTGGCAGGAAGTTGGAACCGGTCAGCACTAGTTCCTCCCCTCCTCTCACAGAGCAGGCACTGGGGCTGTAGGCCTCCACCTGGGGCAGCTCCTGGGCTGAGCGCTGGGCTGCAAAGTAGTATAAGAAAGGAGTCTGGCTGGGCTGGGTACAGAAAGGACAGCCCTTTCCAGCACTAGAGCTTGGGGAAGCCCTCTTTCCAGGAGCAAATAGAAAAAGAGAACCAACAGCAACCATGAAACCACACAGACTTGCAAGGTCCACTCCTGAAACAGAGACGGGGCAGAGAGGTACAGGTTCATCTGGACCATCCCCGAGACATGGCAGAAGGAGAGCTGAGTCCTCTATAGGGCCACCCACCACATGCAGGGCACAGGACACTACGTAGAGGAAATGGGTGATAGACAGACAAAGGAGCTGCGAGATACAGAGAACTGGTTGGGGCCTGTTTGCTCACAGCATTCGATGGGCACTGACGCTGCCTGCACAGAGACGACCTTCCCGCCGCCCTGAGGCACGTGTACACGGAACACCAGCCGCACACGTGTGTTTTTGCGCCCGATGTCCGTCTCACCCTTCCGAAGTTCAATGTCTGAATTTCGAAGCTTCAGGATTCCAGCACAGTCAATGCTGAAGGCAAAGGAGAGATGGTAAGACTTCCTAGCCAAAGGAGAGATGGTAAGACTTCCTAGGCAAAGGAGAGATGGTAAGCCTTCCTAGGCAAAGGAGAGATGGTAAGCCTTCCTAGGCAAAGGCAAGATGGTAAGCCTTCCTAGGCAAAGGCGAGGTGGTGATACATTTCCAGAGGGGAAGCTCCCACCCTCAGTCCATTTTCTAATCTAGTCATGGCCTCCAAGAAAGCTCCCCAGCCTCAAAAACTACTTTCTTAGACATTAAGGTCAGAAACCGACTGGGGATGAGACTTGGTGACAGAGCATTTCCCTAGTGTATATAAAGCCCTAGGTTCAATTCCCAGGACTTTAAGAAGGAGGAGGAAGTTGAGCTGAGGCTATAGCTCAATGGTACAAAATTGTTGCAAAACATTTGTACACTGAAGAAGATGTGTTGCTGTGATGAATGTAATAAAAGGTTGAACAGCCAATAGATACGCAAGAGAGATAGGTGGGACTTCCTGGCAGAGAGAAAGGAAGACAGGGAGGAATGGAGGCAGGCGAGAGATGCCAGGAGACACAGAGAGAAAACAGAAGATGCAAGATGGAAGAGAGATAAAGTCATGTGATAGAACTCAGATTAATATAAATGGGTTAATCTAAGTTATAAGACCTAGTTAGAAACAACCCTAAGATATAGGCTGAACTCTCATAATTAATAAGAAGTCTCCAGGTCATTATCTGTAGGCTGCTGATCCATAGATAGTCTGACAAGAAAGCTTGCTCCATATGGTGCCCAACGTGGGTCCACATAAGGCCCGAGAAAGCTAAGAAAACAGAGTTCTGAACAAGTGGCTCCACTCTCACTGACCCTAAGTAAGCAGAGCCAGCCGCGAGGCCATGAGAGAGAGCCTCATGGCAGAGGGCCTAGCCACAGCCTAGCAGTTTAAGATTTGGCTCACGTGTCAGAGAATGTTGCAAGAGTATGACTACAGGAGCTTCATAAAGTCAATTCCAGGCCAAACAACAAAAAAGCCCTCTGAATAGGTTACAGTATGCGTAAAAATGACTTAGATGCTGGGGGAGAAAAAAGAAAAGGGGTATAGGCAGTCATAAAAGAATAAATAGTTTAAAAATAATAAAGTAAAATCTTTAAAGAGGGAATAAAGTAATATAAAAGAAAAAAGCCACATAAAGATGGGAAAAAACACATGGTGTCTGGATCTTGTGTGGTGCTTTATTGACTTTAAATTTTTTAATGTTAATGAACAAAAAAACAATAGCTACAGAAAGATATTGAATTATGGAAACTGCTAAAGGAAATCAACCTATATATTTTAAGAATGCCTTAACTTCAAAATAAAAGTCAGAAAATCTATTGCATTGGGGAAGAGACTATGCCTTTGTTTCCACAGGAAACAAAAAGTTATGGTTCCCTTCAAAATTAATAAAGATCAGATCTGACTGAGGGAAAAACCTCCTGAAAATCTTGGCTACAGACATGAAAAAAGAAACCAAAAAAGATGGGAGATATATATATGTTGATCCCTCTACTATGGGAACAGCTCTGAGACTGGATGAGACATGATAAATCTTGTTATGTATAGAGTATTCATACTTATTATTACATGTCATCTTTTCATGTAGCACAGTATGAGGTTTGGTTATACAGTCAAAAAAAAACATAAAATTTACAGATGTCTTTTACCTGCTCAAACATAAAACAAAAAATCATCTTTAGCTCTCTTGTACACACTGCACAGTCCATATTTGTGTTAATACAGATGTATATGCTACCTTTAAAAGTTTGCTTTTCAGAAAAAAAAAAAGAACCAGACACCAATAAAGACAAGTAGCCCAGGTGATCCAGCCTCTCAGAGTGTCTCTATTGCAGTTTCCTCAAAATTCTGCATCCACAACAGCTTCAAAGCTGCTAGCTGAGATGGTCCAGTCTTACAGACTATCCAGCCAAGACTTCAGATAAGTTCTACACTTTCCCATCACACAGAGACTAAACAAAAAATAATACAGCTAGTTCTCCCAGGACTTGACCATTATCCCAGTTTTCTCAGGGTCCCCTGAAGATTCTGTCACCCCAAGACAGCAGAAATCAGTCTAGAGAACAGGACACCACATTCCTGAGAGATGGACTGGGTGGTTTGGTCTTTCAATGGATTACAGATTCTTATCATCACTTAGGGGGAGTTGGATACAAGTTGTTGTTGGTCATGGTCAGGAAAAAAGCTGAACAAAGGAGATTAGATTCAGGAATCTCTTTCTGAAAAGAAAAAGGGAGGATATAGTATAGAAATGATGGGACAAAAGGGTGGATTGTTGCACCTACTTTTGAACAACCACTAGTCTCCATTATTTTATTTTATTTATTTATTTATTTATTTATTTATTTATTTATTTTGATTTTTCGAGACAGGGTTTCTCTGTGGCTTTGGAGCCTGTCCTGGCACTAGCTCTTGTAGACCAGGCTGGTCTCGAACTCACAGAGATCCGCCTGCCTCTGCCTCCCGAGTGCTGGGATTAAAGGCGTGCGCCACCACCACCCGGCTCCATTATTTTACATTGGTATGGATTTTTGTACATTGATACAAATTTAAGGTTATTTTTCTTTTACTGTACATGTGTTTCTACTCTTATTTAAGGTGTTATACCTGTGCAGCTCATTTAAAAATGTAATGTAAAGTTTAGCCCTTGAAAGTTATTTGGGATAATAAATAAAGACATGTTAGTTCTTAGTCATCTAACAATCAAACTTGTAGTCAGATGGTCAAGTTTTCAAGGTTAAACAGATATCTCTTAGATGGGTTGTCTTCAAACACTTCAGAAATCTACAGAATATGAAATTTAAGATGTTTCAATAACATAAAGCTTTTGATGACAGTGAGATATGTCTGCTCCTGGTAGCACCAATTTTCTTCAAAAAAGGAATGATGGTTATCAAAGAATCTCCATATGGAGTTTGCTTCCAATGTGGCAAAGCTAGCCACTGGGCAAGAAACTGCGCTTGCCTCGACTACTGACAATATGCTGTCCAAACTGGACAAACAGGACACAAAAGAAAGCAGCTGCTGAACTTTGCCAAGACAAGTAAGACAGTCCTTTAAAATTTCTGCTTCACAGAAAAGTCTGTCAGATATTCTAAGCCCATAGGCAAAAGGTGGATGCCCCAATGTTGCAGATGAACCTTGAGTGACTATCTAGGCAGTCAGCCATCTCTGTCATTTCTGTAGTTTTGGAAGTTGTTTGTTCTACACTTCCTGTTTACTCAGGTAATAGTATATTCTTCTTGGGTCTTTGATGGAGGTTGAAGACGACATAATAATAGTTACAGTTTATTGTTATCAAAGTCAGAAAAGAAACTTGCATAAGAAATGTAAAGTTTATAAGGTTGAGAAACATAAAATCTTAAGTTGATTATGTAAGAAGATGATTTAAGGTCTAAAAAGATATTTTTTAGGATGGCAATACATAGTTATGATAGAAAGTGGTTTAGGTATAAAACTTTGATAGGGTAGGCAATACAGTACTTTCTCCAAATTTGCCAAATACAAATGGACTGGACATTGTGAATGTAGTCCTTACTTAATAATTGTTATTATGGTGTATAGTTTTACTATGTCAGAATTAAAATCTTTCCTTTTTATTTAGAGAAAAGGGGGGAAGTGCTGTGGGATATTTGTACACTGTATGAAGATATGTTGCTGTGATTGGTATAATAAAAAGCTAAATGGCCAATAGGTAGGCAGGAGCAATAGATGGGCCTTCCAAAGAGAAAGAAAGAAGAGGAGGAACTGAGGCACTAGGAGAGGAAAGAGGGGGTGCAAGAGAGGTAATGCCATGTGATAGAATGTAGATTAATATAATGGGTTAAGTCATAAGAGCTAGTTAGGAACAAACCTAAGCTATAGGCCAAGCTTTCATAATAATTTTCGTAATTCTTTTCTTTCATAACAGAAGTCTCTGTGTCGTTACTTGCAAGCTGGCTTGCCAGACAGAGAAAAACTTGCTACACAAAACACTTGCCTAGAAAGCTGGAAACTGACTTGGAGTGATGATATCTAGCTCTTCTGGGAAAGAGAAAAAGGGGGGGGGGGGGCTTTCTGGTCTTAAATTCTGCTGGCTGGGGGAAAGTTGATTGGGGACTTACTTTGCGGCCATGTTGTTTTCTGGGAGTAAGGTCATCTCCAACACTTTGGTACCACTGACTACAGCTTCATAGCTGGCCGTGGCCACCATCTTGCCAGTGATACGGTGCACCTGGTAGAAGGCATGTGGCCGCAGGCTCCTTTCATCCGCAGTGCCAATGAACATCTGGAGAGTCAGCGGCTTCTCACTGTAGCCTAGGAGCTGGCAGGAGGAGACAGAAGCACCTGTTTGAAAGCCCCAGAGTTTTTCACCCTTTATCCATCCTTGGCTTTTCCTGTCCAAGGATGGGAATGGTGAAAGATGAATACCCTGTAAGGGATTCCCTGTGGGAAACTGGGTGTCCGCTGTAGAGAAAATGTTCACAGTCAAGTTCACAGTGTTATTCTTGGAAGGCCCAAACTGGGCTGGGCAAAAGAGGAAGAGCTTCCAAGAAAGACTAGGCCAACTCAATATAGAGAAAACCTAACTCCCAGTGACCTTTGGCCTCAGCTGAAACCCTCCCCCACATCTGGCGAGTCACCATTTTCCAAAGTAGACATGAGGCTGATGTCCCGTGGGATAAGTTGGGGAGCGTGGGGGTGTAGGAGAACAGAAAAGAAGAGTAGAAAGTATATCCGGGTCCTTGCTATGTACCCTTCCTTCCCTGGTTCCAGCCCCTCCCCTGGGCTGCCTGCGGGGTCACAGCTGAGAGTGTGGGAAAGGGCAGTGCCATGATTCTGTGTATGGCTGAAGCTCATTTGCAGGAATCTGGGACGGGAGAAGAGACAGAAAGTCGGGCCTGCCTTCTGCTCCTTACCTTGACCACAGGGTGACCTCCAGGGGCAGCTTTGACAGCACCTCGGCTGCCCTCTGTCTCGTAGTGGGCTCGATGGTGTGCTCTAGGCTGCACCTCAATCCTCAACTCCAGCTGTTCATACTGGCTGGGCAAAGGCCAGTCCAGGGGAGGTAGGGCAGAGGTCCTGGGTGGAAGAGGAGAGTATGGTCGTCTGGAACCTCAGCCCCATCAGCATCACACTGGGTGTGTGAGGGAGAAGGCAGTGTGGGTATGGGAGAAATAAGAAATCACGGCAAAAGTCAATTCCAAAATCTCAGAAACAGGGGAAATGATAGGGAACAAGGTCCTTTGAAGATGTGTGTGTATGTATGTGTGCGTGCGCTCATGCACAAAAGATGGCAATAGCACTGAGACTCCCTTCTCCCAGGTTCTGGACAAAGGATTGAAGGTTTTACCAAGAAACAGAGGAACCCAAAGGCCATACTCATCCTCTTATCTAGGAGGGCAGGTACAAAGAAGAAGTGCCATTTTAGACCAGAAAAAGCATTAGAAAAATAGAAAGGCTGAGGGCAGAAGCCTAAAGTAGAAGCTAGGAGCAGGCTACTCTGCTAGCAGGGCAACTCCTTCCTGCTAGTTGGGGCTAAGTAGGAAAAGTTGCAAGGGCTAAGGACTGCTTTTCTGAAATTGCGCTTACAGACTCGGCTAGTAAGTCTCAACTGATAACTTCCTGCCCCTTCCCCCAGGCCCCATATTTTGCAGTCTTTTACTTACCATAACGAATGCAAAAGCTGCTACTAGTGTCTAATGAATTAAGGCCTAGGAGGCTGCTCAATCAGTACAGCCCTGCACAAGAAATTGTCCAACTCAACACAGTAGTATGCCTAAGTTGAGAAACATTGGCCTATGGGAATCCCAGCGAGTCTAGCTTCCCTCTAGAAACTTCTCAGGATGGAGACACCTCAGTCTGACAGCTCAGGGATTAGGACTATTGAAATGGGCAGGATTGAGAGACTAGAAGGGATAGAAAGGCAAGTTTCAATATGAATTCGTTGACTTGCAAATGCATGTAACTTTATTCAGATTGGAAGTGGGGTTCTTAAGACCCACACCTAGACAAAGAGTTAGTGGTGGGCTTCTTGTAATGGAACACAGGGTTCTTCTACCTGTTCTGTCTAAATCAGCCATAGGCTAAGATCAATCTGCCTGAGACAGGACTGGCCAGGAGGTGTGGGAACCCTAAAGGGGTTTACGATAACCAATAACCGTTCTTAGAATACTGAAGAGGCTTTTTCTAATAGGTCCACAGGAAACAGCCCATTGTCAGTCTGCTGGCTTTTGGGGAGGTGTTTGTTTTTAAACTGAATTGCCTTAAAACCAATTAGCTGCTGGGGTCCTGTTGCAGAAGCTCTTCTGAGAAGTGGAGCACACCTGGAACCAGGACCTGTCTTTAAACCCGTCCTTCGACTTTCCTGCTCCCTGAGTAGAATGGGTTGAAGAGCAGAGGGGTGCCAGATCTGGCCCTCACCTGAAGATGGGGCTATGTCCCCCAATCCGGGCCTTGGACCATGCAAGGGGAGAAGGCACTGCTAGATAGTCCATGCCAGCCACCTCTTTCCGCAGACCTCCCGGAGCGGCCACAGCCTCTTCTGTTCCGGAGGGCAGCTTCCCATTGCAGGAGGCAGGCTCCTCAGACCGAGGCAGGGCCACCGCCTGCTCGCTAGAAGTCCTCCGGGTTTTCTGAGGGATGCTCTCGGTTGTTGGAGCTCCGACATAGTCAAAAGGGCCTGGAGAACTAGGATCCCTGACCAGAGGCAATGGGGGCGGTGGAGGTGGCTCTGGACCCTCTTCCCCAAGGCTGCCCCTGCGGGACAGAGCTGGGGAGGCCGAAGACGGGGTTCCTGAACTGGAATAGCGCCTCTTGCCACAGGGTGAAGCAGGCCGCGGGGAGGCTGGGATGGGCCCAGGAGCGCTGAGGAGTAGCCAGCTATCCTCTGGCGCTCGGCCTCCGGAGCTTGGACCGTAGAGGCTCCATGGATCCTCCGGGGTCCAGGGCCTAGGAGAAGCCCGGGGCGAAGGCAGTGGAGAGCTCAAGCCAAAGCGAGAGGCTGCTTCATTAAGTTCAGACTCCACCTCGTCGCATGCTGCATACAGGGCGGCCTCGTCCGAGGCATCGGAGAAGAAACTCCACGAAGACAAACTGCTGCTGCCAGGGCTCGGGCTGAAGAAGGCACCTCCGCCCTGGCTTCCTGCCTCTCGATAGCCCCCAAAGCCTTCTGGTGGGGGGTAATCTCTAGGAGAGCCATCTCCCCAGGTTTCAGGAGTGTCCTCTAGCGAGGTCGGTGGGTCAGGCGTGGGAGAGATGGAAGTGATCCGAATGCTGGGACACTCAAGAACACGACCTCCCCCAGCACCCCCCGCACTCCCTCCTGGGCCCCCCAGCCTCACCGACCGAGCCGGCTGGCTCTCCCAGGTGCCAGGTGAAGGGGCTGGACGGGGTGGTGGTGAGTGCATGCCTGGCCGAGGGGGTGGGGGTCGGGGAATACCAATAGGGGCAGCACCATAAGGAAGGGGTTCCCCAAGGGCCAAACGACAGCAGGGAGGGGCATCCTCTGAGTCCAGCTCTGCCAAAAAGGAAAGGGGGATAGAGGGAGATAGGGAGAGAGAAGCTGGTGAGATGTCTAGGTTCCTCGGATGGTTAGCTCCCAAATCCTGATATGCTGCTCATCTAGGAGGGGTTTCCTAGTCTCAGAACAAAAGCAAAGTTAAACATCAGAAGATGGAAACGAGATACAGGCATGCCAGAACCCCATATTCTGAATCCCTAGTCCTAGGTCCTAGGGTACTAGAGAAGGTGAGGACCGCAGGCTGCGGAGTGCTAGAGCTGGGCCTAGAGGTGTGTTTGCCCAGGCTCTGGGCTGGGCCGGGGGCGATTCACACATGAACCCAATTAGCAATGGTTCCCAAACCCCCAAATGGTGTTGGCAGAAACCCCAGTTACCATCGCAACAGTGGCCTGGGGGTGGGAAGGATGGGGGCATGTCTGCGGTGACAAGGGGAGGTGGCTCCTCCCTCGCCCCCCCAAAAGGGGGCGGGGGTGCAGCCGAAGGGTGATGCGTGCGGGGGCCCAGCCAACAGGGGGGTGGGGGCAGCGGGCAGCGCGGATTCCGTGCAAGCGCCGGCCGCCGCCCCCGGCTCGATCCCCGCCATCTGCCTCTCATTGCGGCTAGACAGGGGGAGGGGGAGGGGTGCCCCTGCGCTGCCCGAAAGAGCCCCCAGCCCCAGGCGTCACGTCTGCAGGACCAGGCCTAGGTCCGAAAGCCTCAAACTCCAGAACCAACCCACCCCTTCCCAAGCCGGCACCCCGGGCTCTTGGGGGCCGAGATTCCCTTCCGCCCCCCATCACAGAGACAGCCGGCCTAGCCGGGAGGCGGCGCGTAGCCAACAACACCCCCACTCCCACCCCAGTCACGACCTAAAAAGGAAAAAGTGGTGCCATGGCCCCCAGCCTCACTTCCTCAGCCTTGGTAGTCCCTCAGCTCCCTTCAACCTCTGACCCACCTCAACCCCCACCCCAGGCTCACTACCTCCAAAGTGTCCTAACTCAGATCGCCCCGGCCCTTCAGTCACTGGCCAGATGACCCCTTCCCAGCCCCACACTAACCTTCCCCAGGGCCCCCCGCGCCCAGCGGGGGGGCTTCCTTTTCTTCCCCGAACACCAGCTTAAATTCCAGCTCCTCATCTTCGCAGCTTGCCGCCCCCATGGGTCCGGCCGGAGCCCCCAGGTCCCGCCTGGGTGGGAGGGGGAGGCTCTGAACGCTGCTGTAGCTTCACGCGCGGGTGGCTCCCTCCCTCCCTTTCTCTGAGACGCCCCCTCTTCTGTCGCTGCCGCCTCCCTCCGGACGCCCCCTCGTTATTATAGAAACTTTTCCAAACTTTTTCCCCCAAACTTCTTCAAAGCGGCCCCCCCAGCCTGTCCCTGATTGGCTACCAGGGATGCTCCAGCCCCTCCTCCAGGGATGAGATGGGAAAACCACGCGCCCCTAGTCCTCCCCCACTCTCCTCCTCTCAGTCATCTCTCCAGTCCCGCCCCCTCCAAAGGGGGAGGAAAAACTGAATTGGAAAGTGTTCCCTTCAAATGTTACAGGACCCTAATGGTACCTATTGGCTCGCAGTAGTGACAATCACTTCTCACGGGGAGCCCAAACCTCAACTTATTTAGTCTCAGCGGAGGGAGGGGGTGGGGGGAATCCGAGTCGCCTTAAAGAGGCCATATTCTGGGCTCCCAGTGTGGCGGGTCCGTGGTACATCCTTCCTTAAGATCTGAAGAGTAGTGCAGCTAGCATCTCCCAAGAAAGGCCACCGCTTCTGCGCTGTCAATCCAAGTTTGAGTAGAAAGAGTTGCGGAATTGAGAGAGGTTCTGGGCTGTTCTAAGAGGAGGCCATTCCTTTCTCCACCCTCGCTGAGACCACTGTACCTGGGCCTTCAGGGAGCTTTTGCACTGCTTGCCCATCACCTCCACCGGCCACTCCTCCCATTTTCTGAGGATGCAGAACTTTTGTTGTCCGGGAAGCCTCTCAGACTTTTCTAACCCCAGGAAGCCTTTAAAGGCCCACCGCCCCTTCTGGGCATAGATCCAGGCCCGGCTTTGCCGATACCCTGGTCCTAGCCGCCTAGATAGGCCATTAATTAGCTTCCTTGGAGGAAGTCGGGTCCCTTTCTCCCTCTCCCCCTCTCACCCCCCTCGAGCTGCAGACTAGAAAGTCTCTCTCTCTCTCTCTCTCTCTCTCTCTCTCTCTCTCTTCCAAGGGCATTCCCCTCCCGGCTCTCCTAAATTCCAAGCCAGGTTTAGAAGGGGCCTGGAGCTGAAAACTTTGGCCCCAAGGCTGGACACCTGTCACCTGGGCAGGGGAGGAAGACCTGGACTGGAGTTTCCAGGAAGGGCAAGCAAGAAAAAGAAAAAAAAGGGGGGTGTCCCAGTGGGAAGAAAAGAACGTGGGACCGGAGATTCTTGATTTGGGCTACAGGTTCCGCGGGGCAGAGGAGCAGTCACCGTCCTGCCCAGCACGCTAACCATTTGCTTCAAACTTCCCTAAGAAGCCTCACGGAGCTCTAATCTTCAATCCCTCAGGCTCTGGGCCGCGCCCCCAGCAGCCACCAGAGGCCAGCACCGAAAGGGTTAAGCGCCGGCCCTCGGGTCAGACGTTTACAAACACTCGGGAGCCGGGCGGGGACCGCGCCCATTACTCTAATGAGAAACAGGCTCTGCGGGGCAGAGGGAAGGGGGGCTGGCCTGACGGGCCCCAGCTCCTTGGCGGCCGAGGCGGCGCCCCTCCTCCTTTCAGTCCTCCCCCGAGCCCGTCCTGGGGACCCCCCCCCCCCAGCCCCGGGGGACCCCAATGACGTGCGGCGCTGCCCCGGCTACAAGCCCAGGGCCGTGCGGCGGGAGGGGCTTGGCGGGCGGGAGAGAAGAATGTTCCGAGGCCGAGCGGGGAGACGGCCTGGTTTGATTTTTTCCCCCCTCTCTTCCCTTCGGTTCTTCTCAGGTTACATTGCCGTCCTGCTTCACCTCGGAACTGGAGAAACCCACGGTCAAGGAGCACGAGGAGCACCTCGAGAACATCTACTATCCTGCACCTAAAAGGAGGGCGGGCGGAGGTGGGAAGCCATGGAGGACAGATCCGGAAATCAGCCCGGGCCCTGCTCCCTTATACCCCCCCTCAGCGGCACAAACAGACGCGCACATTCTTTTCAAATGTCATATTTCCTTTGATCCTGGGCAGTGTTTCTCCATGTGTCAGGCTCAGCTTCTGCCCAGCCAACTGCCTCCCCACCCACCCCGCTTTGTTTTCCTGGAGCACCCTCCCCCTTCCCTCTTTCTGCAAGGCCCGGGAGGGTGACTTCGGCTGTCTTTCCCCTCTCCTCCCAGTGACTCAATTTCCCCGCTGTGGTGTTGCAAAAGAAAGCAGGCAGAAAAGAGAACCGTTTGGCACCAGTGAGGTATTAATGTAAAAGATTGCTCAGAAAGGCAGATACTTTCAGATTAGAGCATCCTCTACCGCAAACTCTCCTAGGTTTAGGCCTGAAGCATAGGAGTGGGACATGTGACCTCTGACTTGTTCTGCGTGGCTTTAGAGGCCCAGGGCTGGTAGTTTGGGTTGCCCTACACTACTGCCCCCTGGCGACCACAAAGCCCAGCTGCCCTTCCTCCCCTTTGGCGACTTTCCCCTGCCACCTTGTCTATCTTCGCTTCTCTGCCCCCTAGCGCGCACACCTGAACGGAGTTCACTTGTGACGGACTTTGGTTTTTGTCTTGTGCTGTTTGTTCCATCGGTTTGTTCTAGAGACAGTCTCCTGTAGTACAGGCTGTCTTGGAACTACTCCTTATCCACACCGCAGTGCTGGAACTATAAACACACAATGCCATTCCCAGTTGTTCTGATTGGTATTATTCGACAGACTTGGAGCTGAATCCTAGCTTTTTTTTTTAATTACACAAAATGTAATTTTGTAAGTGATCTAAATCAGACAAACATGTTTTGTATTCATGTAGTATATATTTGTAGTATATACAAACATCTTTATGGGCATGAGATCATGGTACACATACTTTCCTTTTTTCTTTTTTTTATTTATTTATTATGTATACAATATTCTGTGTGTGTGTATGGCCAGAAGAGGGCATTACAGATGGTTGTGAGCCACCATGTGGTTGCTGGGAATTGAACTCAGGACCTTTGGAAGAGCAGGCAATGCTCTTAACCTCTGAGCCATCTCTCCAGCCCTCTTCTTTCTTTTTAAAATTTATTTTTCGAGACAAATGTTTCTCTGTGTAACAGTCCTGGCTATCATGGAACTTGCTTTGTAGACCAGGCTGGCCTCGAACTCACTGAGACCCACCTGCTTCTGCCTCCCCAGTACTGGGATTAAAGGCATACACCACCCCTGCCTGGCTTTAAATTTTATTGATTTATTTTTTTAATGAGTCCTCCATCTTCATGTATGCCTGCACGCCAGAAGATGGCATCAGATCCCAATACAGATGATTGTGAGACACCACATGGTTTCTGGGAATTGAACTCAGCACCTCTGGCAGAATAACCAGTGCTCTTAACCACTGAGCCATCTCTCCACCCCTAGCATACGTTTTGTTTTGTTTTGTTTTGTTTTTCGAGACAGGGTTTCTCTGTGGTTTTGGAGCCTGTCCTGGAACTAGCTCTTGTAGACCAGGCTGGTCTCGAACTCACAGAGATCCGCCTGCCTCTGCCTCCCAAGTGCTGGGATTAAAGGCATGCGCCACCACCGCCCTGCGCTAGCATACTTTTTTTTTTTTTAACTTGCTTTTATCCCCAGTTAATAACTGGTAGCTGAGCCTCATTTCAGGCCTGTGATCTCAGTTCTTAGGAGACTGGAGGACTGTTACCGGTTGGAGGCCATTTCTGGCTACATAGCAAGATTCTGTTAAGGAAAAAGCGAGTTCTACAGATGTCTGTAAATGCACGTGCATCTGAAAGTGGCAGCCGCTCCTAGGCCTGGAAAGTGTCGTGCTGGCAGCTGAGGTTGGAGGAGTCATCAGCAGCCTTGCCAGGCTCTGAACACTGAGCTACCATAATGAGGCGGCAGAAGTGGCGTGGGTGTTACAGGGTAACCAGCTCCACAGGAGGAAACACATGCTTGGTTAGTACTGTAAACCCGACCGAGAATCCTTGACGGGAGCTCACAGCAGTAAAACCTACTGCCGTATCACACCGCTCTCTAAATTCCCATTGCTACACCTTCGCAATAGTGTAGCTATCGGACCTGATTAGAGAAGTGTCTTTGCCGTAGTGGGTGGTGGTCGGTGCGGAGAATCACGATTGGTGGAGACGTGTCTGGAGTGCTCAGCCACAGATGCGACATCTGTGTCACCCCACACACATAAGACTCGAGGACCATCGAAGAAATGGAGGGAAAGGTGGTAAGAGACAGAGTTCAGGGAGGAGCCAAGTGAAACGCTGTCTTCTGGATGTTTAGGGCGGCTGCAGTCAGAACTCACAGCAGCTCTGTTGCCTGCACACAATCAAGCCAGCCAGCACTCTAGCCAGAAGAGCTCCTGCCCCTATCAGAGGAGCTATTGAATTTGGTGGCTCCTGGGGGAAGGTGCATCAGTTTCCTTTAGAGGAAATGAATAGATGAGCAGCACGAATTGGACTCAGTGTGTTATTAAACAAACAAAAAAAGATAATTGGGTTAGGGCTGGAGAGATGGTTCAGCGGTTAAGAGCACTTGATGTTCTTTCAAAGGATCCAGAGGGTGCTGTTTCGTTCCCAGCACCCATATGGTAGCTCACAATATCTGTAACTCCAGGTCCAGGTCATCTGATGCCTTGCTCTAGCCTCTGAGACCACCAGGCATGCATGTGTTACACAGACATACATGCAGGCAAAATATTCACACACACACACACACACACACACACACACACACACACACACACACAGACGTAGTGAGAGCCCATCTCAAGAAAATAATTTTTAAAATTTTTATGAAAAACTCTTAGCCAGGTGGTGGTGGCACACATCTTTGATCATGGCACTCAGGAGCCAGAGGCAGGCAGATCTCTGTGAGTTCAAGGCCAACCTGGTCTACAGAGAGAGTTCCAAACAACCAGGGCTGTTGCACAGAGAAATCCTATCTCAAGAAAAAAGGAAGAAAAAAACAATACAACAAAACACAGAAACAAAAAGCTCTTCTCAAAACTGGGCGGTAATGATGTACACCTTTAATCCCAGGACTCAGGAGGCAGAGGCAGGAAGATCTCTCAGTTCAAGGCCAGCCTGGTCTACAAAGCGAGTTCCTGGACAGCCATGGTTAGACAGAGAAACCCTCTCT